GGGGCAGCGCCCAACCCCCCTGATGGGCCCTGCTCTGTGAGTGACAGGGGGCAGCGCCCCAACCCCCTGATCGGCCCTGCTCTGTGCATGACAGGGGGTGGTGCCGCAACCTCCCGATCTGCCCTGCTATGTGCATGATGGGGCGGCGCCCCAACTCCCCAATCGGCCCTGCTCTGAGCCTGACCAGGGGCTGCACTTAGGGATTGGGCCTGCCCTCTGCCACCTGGGAGCAGGCCTAAGCCAGCAGGTCGTTATCTCCTGAGGGGTCCCAGACTGCGAGAGGGCACAGGCCGGGTTGGGGGACCCCCCTCCCCCCGCCCCCCGAGTGCACAAATTTTTGTGCACCGGGCCTCTAGTCTTACCTAATAATAGACAAACATGTAAATTGACTGTCCCTCCGCTACGCTCGCCAGCCAATCAGGAGAGTATGCAAATTAACCCAGCAAAGATGACAGTTAATTTGCATACATAGGCGCAAAGCAGTGGAGCGAAGACTGAAGGCTCCGGCTGGAGCAAAGGCCTGGGTCCCAGGTGCCGGAGTAAAACTGGTGCTGGCAGCCAGAGGAAGGGAAGGCCTATTGCACAAATCTCTTCATGCAACGGGCCTCTAGTAGAATATAAGGCTGGAGTCAAGGGGCAAGTTCAAGGATAACAAACTCAAAATAGCGAAAGGGAAGAGGACTTCAATGAGAACAGGCAAATAAGACAGTGGGAAGTGGTGAGGAAGGGTTGGAGATGGAAAGGAAATGGGATGCTGAGACCGGCACCCTCAGGTTTCCTCTGCTGACTGACATCGGGGAATTACTACCTAAGGCAGGAGTGCTGACACAGGGAGGGAAGTGCGATACTTAACAAAAATACCCAATCAGTGATTTCTAGCAAACGAAGCATCTATGTCAACAAATCCTAAGAGTTAACACAACTATTCCAGACAGGATGCTAGAAGCAAAAATAAATGGGACGGTGTCTTGGAAATATGTCAAAGAGAATATGACTGGCAACAGGGTGTGAAAGAAAAAATTGAGGAAAGTTTAAATGGTTAACCATGTTAATCATGGGAAATCCCCTGAAGGGATAACATTTTAAGGACGGGTGAGATGTGATCCATCTCACTGGGGAAGTAAAACTATTCCTGTCTTGGAGGTTAGGTTTAAAGCAAAGGGCTTTTAATTTGGTTTGGATTTTTTTTAAGTATTCTTAAATTACAATCGAGTGAAAGAATCATCTTCTGCAATAGGAATTTTAAAATCCTATTTTAAATAGTGTAGTGCAATGTGTGTTAAAATAATTAGATGGATGGAATCCATAGGTAACATCTTGTTAAAATATTCTCTACCTCATTTGGTTATTATGTTGGTCGCATATACGAGTCACAGGGCTTTGTTTTCAATAAGTGACTACAAGATTATCATTTAAAAACAAAACTATAACTGCTCACATTTGTCAGCCTCCTTTTGACTCTTTCTAAGACGGAAGGTGGTACCTGTTTTGACAGTGGCTCCAGTTTGTGTCTCCACAGTGATGTGCATGTTATTAACCTGATTAGACCCGAATCCGTCTATTGAGAAGGGCTCCCCTGTCTCAGTTCCACATGGAGCACTGGCTCCTGTAATCTAAGCTCCTCCTGAACGCTGAAAACTTGTACTATCAGTGAAACATTTAGCAAGACAGCGGAAGCCACCCTCCTCAAGAAGATGATGAGCTTAATGAAAAGAAATTCACAAGCTGCGGCCCCACGCTGCACATGACCAGCCATGCCTGCTGGCTTGGCTGTCTGTTGGTTGTTGCTATGACTACGCAAAGCCGGTGGAACCCAATGAGCTGCCTGCAGCAGGGCTGAGAGGACCAGCCATTTTACTTATGGGAAACAGTGTGGCATATTCTGCTGAGCGTTCCCCTGGAAGGAGCATTTTTTAAAAAAATCTATTCAGAGGAGAGAGGAGTGATGGGCATGTTAGGATACAATGATCAGAGCCCAGCGCGCCTGCAAGCTGCCGTTGGGACGGGCTGGTGACTGCTGCTCCTATTAGCTGATCTGAGACACTGGAATGCAGCGAGATAATGCTGCATATCTGCTATCAGACGGCAGAAAAGGGTTTTGTCTCGGAAAGGCAAGCCTGCCCTGCAATCGTATCTCAGCAGCTCTCTAGCTGCTCAGCCTGAAAACTAGTGACCCTGAAGGAGGGCGTTACTGCCTGCGAGCAGGGTCCTGTGCGGCTGGGCTGCGAGCGGCGGGTCTGCAGAGCAGGTGTGTGCTCGATGGGCACTGGACTGGAACCCAGGCGGCCGCTCTCAGGTTTACCTGCTTCCTGTTAACAGATTGTTGGCTCCGAGAGCAGCTGCCTGCCCGCTGAGGTCGCGGCTGAGCAGGAGGTCCCCGCGTGTCCACTGGACTGACAGAGGTAAGCTTTTTGCTTTTCTTAAAGCATAGCTTTATCAATAACTTGGAGCAAAACTTAACCTGAAACATTTATTACATTGCTGTTGTCTGATTTGCCATGGAAGTATACACACACTCATTCACATACACTCACACACACACACACACACACACACACACACACACACACACACACACACACACACACACACACACACACACACACACACACACACACACACTTCCACAAAATAGTGTCCAAGACACAGACTTGTTTCAGTGAGTTTAGCTTCTAGAAATCGGATGATAAAGCAAACAAACAAACAAAAACATTACTAATGTCCCTTGGGACGTGAGATAAATATTTACTATTTTAACAAACCATACTGGCTTGTCATTCTGGATAGTCTTATAACCAACAACCTTTCTCTCTCACAAACAATGGATTCTTTCATGAACTGCACTTCGACATCTATTAAAAGAATTACGTGGAAAATCAGAGGCTTGAAAATTTGAAGCATTTGTTTTTAAGCCTCAGCATTGATGAGTTTTCACTCTGAACACACCTACGTATACTACCAACTTAAGGAATTCTATTCCGAAGGCAGATCCTAAGAGCCAGTGGATGTTGTACTTGCTTGCTCTGAACGGAGCCTCGGTGTGCTGTCTTGTTTGGTTGGGGGGTGGCTGTAAAGCAAATAGTGTAAGTGCTGGAAGCAGCTCACACGTCCTCTCCCAGTATCATGCACGCCGCGCTAGCCCAGAGCACAACACCCCCATTGTGCACCTCGGCTCAGAATCCAAGGAAAGAAAGGAAGTGAAATCTGCACATTGAATGCAAGCACAGCTACTGTATGTGCTGGTCAAACTTCTTTTATGGCACAGGTTCTTCTCACAAGCAGATAGGTTTCAGAGATAGAGAGTGAAACCAAGACACCACACACCTCCTGCAAAGGTCGGGCGCTAATGTTTGCGGTGGATGTTTGCTGTCAATCGCTACATGATAATAGCACAGACTTTGAACTGGAGTAGGAATTGCCCCTTAGTGTGTGTTTCTTTGATTTATGGTCTCCTAGGAACAAAGCTGTTACTGTGGATTGAAATTGGTCAGTCACATCGAAATCCTTGCTAAGGATGTGACCAAATAATGATGAATTATGTTTCAGCAGCATTTCAGCTTTACAGAAATCAATTCTATTGTTGGTCTACCAGGACTGTCAGATAATTTACATTGCTATTGAAAATGTATAAGGAAAACTGTTTTGTTGAAAACTTTGAATCAAAACCTCTGCTAAAGATTAAATCTACCACAAAATGTCAAATAAATAGTATATATAGTAAATCCTAGACTTACTTCTAAGAAATATTTTTATTTACTTCCTTTTTTCCAAAATATGAGTGACATGGGAGGCACCTTTTAATTTTAAGTACAATAATACAATTTTCATTGCTACATCTGAGCACACATCACCTATTTCACAAGTATGTCAATATACCTCAAGGTAAGAGAATTATAAAGTGTAGTCACCAATATTCTGCTCTCAATGCCACCAATATTCAGGATATAAAAACACAGATCTTAGTGTAGAGGATCAAATCCAAACATTTAACAATGAGAACAAATAAGAATATGCCTCTGGGTGTGAGAGACAGTGTATGGGATAAAATGGTGAGGTGATGCATCCTTCTTCACTTACGTTTAACTTAAAATGAACAGACTTAGTTTTGAGTCAAATTCTATAAATAAAAGTAGCCAAAAGAATGGTTCTTTATAGCAGAATGAAAGGTAGTAAGACTTTCTCTTCGGCTGAATTCCCTTCAGAGCTTTGCACTGCAAAAGGAGTTCTCAGACTTAACACAGTGCAAAGACCTGCAGCAAGAAAATGATTTTGTATTCGTCTTTCTCAGGGAGTTTTAGAAGAACTAGGTGAGGAAATACTTAAGACACATCTGCCTACCGTGACACACAAACTTTATACCTGTGTTATTTTTCTACATTAGTAACCTTTTAAAGTGATATGCTATGAAAGATGAGCATTTTAAGTTCACTTATGTCACAGTATATCAACATAGTTATTAATTCCACAACTTCGAGAATCAGATGCAGAGATATAATCCCTAAATTTCATGACTTTGCACTTTGGCTTTTATCTATTTATATAGCCTTATAAATGCCACTTTCCAACTCACCTGTTAGCAATGTCGGCTACTATGTAATTTCCCAAACATACTATAGCAAACTTTTGCAAAGCTACCTACAGACTTTTTTCCTAACGCTCCTCCCCATGCTTCGTAATCCAGTGAGACTTTCTCTCCGGACACTTCCTCACCTTCCCTCACCTTCGGCCACTTCAGACTCTTCTGTCTACAGCTCTGTCTGCTGCAACATATTGCACGTGTCTGCTCATGGCTTCCAGATTCTCTTCATCTTGTATGTGCTTTGTCCAGTGTCCAGAACTTGGCATTCAGACGTGTGCTGGTAACCTCGGCCTTCACTACTGTCTGATTGGTTACTGTAAATATAGGCTCAATCTTGAAATAGAAGCCCTATTATCTATTATACTGCCTTTTATCAGATAAAACTCAAAACATTTAAAAAACAGCAATGAGGCTTTCATTTTCCTGATATGAAAATATGACTTCAGGGTCACAATTTGAAAAAACAATGCTATAAATGCTCCATTATATAGCAGAATTTTCTGAGGGAAAATTTTGCAATGTGTAAGTTTTTAACAAAACAAGTTGAGAGCTTGAGTATCTAGAAGATGCTGTTTGTTTGCTTGCTTGTTTGTTTGTTTAATTTACAGCTATTATAAAATTTGCAGGGGAAAATAAATATACTAAGTTATCCCTGTTGGAAATCTGCTCTAAAATCAGACCATTAAAATGAATGTTGAATTGATGATAATGAATAGCTGATTGTAACTGAGATACTTATGGAATTGTCTTTCATAGTGAAGCAAGAAGAAAATCAAACTCATGAAATGGAAAGAGACAAAGTACTGAAATAAAGTCTACAATCACAGAATTTCTTTTCATTTTCCCACATAAACCTGAAAGGTTACTGGTCATCACTGGTTCTATTATCCTTCCCTGTGGTATCTGAGTTCCTGGGAGTAACTTTCCTGATACAGACATGCTTTTAGTTACAGAGACTTCCATCCTTTCTCTATTCGATGGCATGCCTATTATATTTTTAAAATAAGCTTCAATTTCTATAGCTTTTTATAGAAAAATTTCCATAATGCTATAATAAAAAATAAGAATGGATCAGGAATTTTAAAATGTAATAAATATATAATGCCTTGTCTCTAAGACAAACCATGTAGAAAACAAAAGTTGTAATTAATATTGTATGTATTCTTATACATAAAGTAGCAAAGGTTAAGAAGTTTAAATGTCCAAATATTTAGAATTAAAAAGCAAATATTTAGGAAATCACTTAAATTCTTTCACATTATATTCCATCATTAACTTGTATAAAAAATAATATAAATATCAACTCTTAATTAGCATACTGTCCTTGAAATGTTTATTTTGGCTACCTTCCAGCTGATTTTAATATACAGCATGCTAATTAAATAATAACTAAAGTTGAAATTGGTTCTGTTCATCTTAAAGACAAGTCATATTTAATTAATTAATCAATTATTTTAAATCGTATGTAGTAATTAGATTTTAAACATTGTTTTATAGTATTTCTGCATTATTTTTAATATACCTTAAGTAAATTATAAAATTTAAAGGCCTAAATTATGTATAACTATTTTTGATATTCAAATGAAAAGAGTGTGCTCTTGATGCATTTTATAACATATGATTATTTTAGATAATTTTCTATATGTTCCTTAAACTAATAATTTAGTCAAGGATATGTCCATTAAATTCTAAATTATCACTGCAAAGAATTATATGAATATTTTCAAAATCTTTTTACCTACATCACTTCTCAAAAAAAGTTAAGACAAATACACTTGGTTATAAGGAAACACTTCTGGAAATATCAAGTTCTAAATAGCGACGAATAAGAACTCTCAGCCCAGCTTAACCTCAGAGATGATCTGACTTGAAAAAGTGACTGAGAATCAGCAAAGGCGGGTTTTATTCTGAGTTCTGGCAGCACAGCTTAGCTGTTAGAACTACACTGCACTGCACTGTCCCTAGTCTTCAAACAGAAATGTCCTATTTGCCAGCTAGGAATTGTAGCCAAAAAGAGTGATTTCCTCTTCCCCATTCAGGTCAGGTACTCATAGACCCAGCATTAATTCTGCACCTTTAAAAAAAAAAAAAAACATTATTTGAGCAAAAAGTCCAGAAAGCTTTCACTTTTCCTGAATTTAACCGAGGGTCTTCAAAGAAAATTGTCTTACCTCAAAGACACTGAAATTTAGCAATATTCTCATTATACTTCCTAATTTATTTTTATATCCATGTGATAATTTAAGGAAAATTTATTTTTAATAAAGAACATTATTTGAACATTTCAATGATAATTGAGGGTTTTTTTCATTTGAACTGTTGCCTACTTTTTAAATTTTTGATTTTTTAATTTAACCTAGATATTCAATTCTTACAACTCTCCTTTGAGATGTTTTTTCATAGTTGGTGCACATTGCATATCGTACTTCCTTCTAATGAATTGTACCCTCAGCTTTATGTAGGAGACTTGGTCCAATCAGTATAGAAATCATTATTTTTGGGTTCCTTTTCCTAGTAAATTTTTTCAGGAATGCTGAATGTGAGGGCAGCATAAACCTCTCAGGCTCCAAACCTTCTGGTGTCTTACTCAATTCACCATCCTTTACAGATTAATACAGTTTTAAGGACCAGCCACAGGAATCCAAAAAACTATAGTAAAACAGGCTTCTAACCAAGAGCTGCACCACTTATTAAAAAAATCCCCTGAGTGTACAAGCAGCGGATGGCATGAAGAATGGCACCTTCATGCAAATGAGACATTCTAAGGGAGAACTGGGCATGCTAGAGAAAATGTATCAGTATACACGCTTATTCTGTCCTCCT